TTTAAAAATTTTTAATTGTGAACCTATCAGGTTTTTCCTTTGTCTTAAGAATGAATGATTTAATGACTCACTGTACATTTTTGGTATGCCAAACTATAGTTAAGGAAATATAGTGACAGAAAAATTATAACAGAGAAGAACAAATATGATTCTATATTGGATCTGTTTCTTTAACTTTTGTTAAAGGTTCTAATGCTTTTGCTATAAGTTAATCTATAAAAAAAAAGTTGCCTATAGCCCACAATATACACGATAGCCCATTTTTATGACTCTAACCTTTAAAGGTAAAGTGCTTTTCCATTCATACAGAGATAAAAAGTTGCAGAACAGAGAATAATGTTTGTCTTGTTGAGGATTTATAGGAATACCATGAAACCAGACCTGTGGATGCTGCGAGAACAAAGGATTCCAACACCAAGAAGTTTGCAATGACCAGCGACACTCCCTCCCCTTTCAGTAGAAAAGAAGCCTGAACTCCACCTCAGGTAAGGTGGTTCTTTGGGACACGAGTCCACCATCCTCCCTCACTTCATTGGCTTGCTGTGCAGTGAGCAGTATGAGCCTGGACTGGTTGGCAGAGTTATGTGCAGCTGTCAGTCAATCTCATCTAAACAGCTGGACAGCTTTTTACTGAGTCACATTTCATTACATGGGAAACTTCCTATATAGAATGCCCCAAATGAAATCCAAGGAATGCATAAATATTCATTTTCTATAGTTTAATGAAATGATGAAGTAATCCTCCTAAAATTTTCAGCAATGAGAAGCTTTAGTATCAGAGTTCTGAATGTAATCTTGAGATTTAGAATTTAACTGGTTTTGAGAACTTGGAGAGGTCCCAAAGAGTAATAAAAATTAAACATGGTGGGAAAACTGGCTCTTATGAGGGAAGGAATGAAAATACTGAAAATCAACCTGTGTGCGGTGCTTAAGGAGGCGTAGCTTTTACGAGAGGAGCTGAGTCCGGCAGCCTTTGCTCAGATGAGAGAACACAGCCCAGTTTCCTCTCAGGTCAAGGCAAGAACAAAGCATAGCTTTCTTTGCACTGTGTATCTTTCCAGCAGGCTCTGGGAAGGCAAGATTACACCTGCATCCTTCACCAGTGCAATCCCAGAGCTTAAGGAAGTGCTCAGTCCATAGTAAGCTAGTAAATGTCAAATGAAAGGATGAGCTCTGGACTAGACTGGATTCATTTCACTGACTTATTGAATTCTCCTTCTTATTCAACCCTTATCAGAAAAGAAAATTTCAGGAACCCCTAAAATACCTTTTACAGTAAGCTACAACTTGTATTTATAATTGTTACAAGTTTTGAGTTAAAACACAGAACTTCATAACAAAAAATTCTAATGCCACTGAAGAAATTGGGTGATATCTGCATATCAAATTCAAATAGATGGGTAAAAAATAATGGAACATAATTATAAGTATAGAGCAAGATCTCTAAAAACAAGCTTGGATTTCTACTTGAAAAATCAATCTTATGGATTGTTTTGGCTCAATAAACATTTACTGAATGAATGGACATGTGAAGAATAAACAAGGAGGCAATGGATGAGTAAGTGGTGGGTCTTAACTGGCCTCTTTAGTTAGAAAAACAGGGGAAACAACCTTCTGGTACATTGTAGTGTTGTTTAATATAATACAGTAATAAAAGTCTGAGCGTAATGTGAAGGCTTGTGTAGAAAAGATATGCCCATAGCGTAAATCATTCAATAGCAGCAAAGACTGATGATGCTATGCAATACACATAACAGTTTTCCCATATTTAGGAATATTTCCAAGGGAACTGTTAAGGCTTAAGATGCCAGAACAATTTAAAAAGAAAAAAACTGAAAATCTCCTTAAAAACTCTATACATTTTCTATGTATATAGTGTGGGGTTTCCTATTGCTGAGGAGTATTATGTATTACGAGACACAAGTGAAAAGAGCCCCCACAAGCTCATTTTCTCCATGTAAAGCTGTGAAATTAAATAGACCTTTGCTTCCAGAACGCAACCACCAGTTTAATGAAAGGGACAGAGACAACTCCTCTTCACTGGAGATGTATTTGTTTGTAACAAAAGCAAAGGGGCCCATATCTGTCAATTATTCCAACTGTTTCTAGCTACACCATCCAAGTGCATAAAATCTTATTAATCTGTGCTGATTATTTCTTCACACATGGCCTCATTTTCCCCCTTTCTTGGGAACTATTTTCAGTAGCAAAAGCCACCAACTCATAGATATCATCCTAAAATTAGAGAAGCTACAGACTTGAGACATATGTGAACCCTCCCTTCCCCCCTCTTTTTGCTAATGGGCCATAACCCTCCAACATACTGAACTCAATAAGGCCTCAGAATCCTTCTCAACACATTATTCTGTACAGACACCAAACCTGAGAGATAAGGCTCTTAACCATCCTTGAATTCAATAATAAGTCAGGAAATTCACTTTTTCTGTTACATTTTAAATTTATGTATTCAACTACTAAGACATTTTTATTTAAAAACCTGCTTATATGCAAACAACAAATGAAAGAATTATATTATACCAAATAAATAAGGTGCTCCACACCATATGCATGTTTTATGTAATTTTCTCTCAAAACTTCACCACTTTCCCTGATAATTACAGAAACACAATTTAATCAGAGCATGATCATCTGGAATATTGCTCTCAATGTGTATAGAAATCATTATTTCTTCTACATAACCAGAGATATGTAACTTGTAGATAAAAAAATGCTAAGGGAATTTCCTCCGGAAAGATGTTTCTAGAAAACTAGGTAGCAAGCCCCCAGTACTTATCATTTCCTATCCTAAGGAATACTGAAGATGGACATGAGTTGAAAAGAAAACCAAATATAGAAAGTTGGTCAGATGTTCCTGAACCTGTCCGACCTTTTTGGGAACAGCAATGTTTACTTGAAGGACCCTTTCAAGAGCTGCCTTTGGGTCCCCAGGTTAAGCCAGGCTAAAGGCACCAAGTGTCCACTGGGTAATGACCAACAGTTCATAAGATATCTCCCCTCCTAAACCTGGAAGACGCCAGAACAAAAAAAAAAAAAAAAACAAGCTTGGGCATAGAAAAAGTCCCAATTTCCATGTGAATTAGCATCTGCCTTTTCACATGCTGATTCTGCAAGGCAGCTCATTTACAAATATATAAATAGCTGCAACTTTACTCCAGTCTCATTGAAAAACCAAGATGGCATCATGTGAGAGAAGCATCCCAGCATCTTTGGCTCACAGAGCAAAATGTAAGTGGAGATGAGCCAAGCTACTTGACACTTGCTGTCAGCTTAACCAGATCCCCTCCAGTTTCCTGCAGTGGAGGGACCAGAGTTCTCCTGTGCAGAGCTGGAGAATTAACTTACATTGATTGTCCAGCAGTTGCACAGTGATTTAGAGCCCAAAATCAAAAAATAAATTTCAAGTCATACATAGTACTTATTACCACACATATTCAAAAGAGAGTGGCACTGTCTAAATGTGGTAACAAGTTTTCCAATGTAGCTGCTTAAAATTGTCACTCCTATACTTTGGCCACTTGGCCAGAATTAGAGGGATTTAAATCATCAGAAGGTGAGAGAGAACATACATTTTAATTTTTGGAAAAGGATTTACTGCCTTTCTTAAATTCATTAATTAAATTTATGTTTAAGAAACATCTAAAGCAATATATATGAAATATATGAGACACAAACTGACTCTTCTTTCCTGCATATGAGCACCCAGACAGGGAGCTGTCAAGCCCTGAAGGTTTAATGCGTGCGTGTGAAGGCACTTTCAGGCTTAAGACACCCACGATAGCACAGGTCTGTGGAGTGACATCTGCTGAATTTCTCCAGCAGACAATCACCGTTACATCCCCTGATATCAAATTACCCTCTCTCTTAGCCCTCTGATTTCTTACCAATTAATGAGCAGTTTACTTTTAAGGAACCATATCATAAAACTAAAAGTATCTAAAGGATCACAAAATAGAAAGTTTAAAAGAAAATTTTCTCAAGGAATTAGGAACCTGCTTTACATGATACATCTGAGGATGGGCAACAAGATAATTAATGCTATTTCTCTTCGAGAATTTCAAAGCTGAGATTTTCAACAACTCTGCCCAGTAACTCAAATACTAGATACCCATCAGGAAGTGGAAACATCCACGTGTGTTTTCACACAAAAACATCTGTGTTGCATATTAAACCAAGCAGAATTTTATGCTTTATTCATTGCAGTGTAGTCATACACTGGAATGTTCATCCTGGACTCAAAGGCTGAATATCAGAACCATGTATGTTCTGTCTGCCTTCTTGATGACTCAGGCTTTCTGATTTACTCTGGATCCATCCGCCAGTTACCTATAGTCAACCATATGGTGAATTCTTGCCTTGTTTAATTGCTGACCAATTGGCAATATTTAAAGGGAAAGTGATTTTTTTTAATCTCATTTATCAGAAGAAAAAGTGTAATAAAGATAACTAACAATAAAAAAAGCCTTAGGTAAATCCATTTTGAAATAAGTATCAAGATAAAAAAAAAAGAAAAAGTTTTTTTTTACCCTACTGTTTATACAATATATACAGTGAATAAGGGCTAAATTCTTTTAATTTAACATAAAGCTTATCTCAATGCATGAAGCATGTGGAAATAAATATAATAAATATCAGTCTTTGTCTCTAAGTCTACATTGGTCTTATGTTCCAAATTCACATTTTAAAATCTAATTTTGGTTAGTCTATTTAAACATAAATAATACTTCTTCAAAAATAGATTTAATTACTATTTTATAATAATCATGCCTCTATCTATACATGTAAATTAACACCACAGAACAAGATCAATTTGCAAAGATTATTAAAAACCACAGTATAAAAACATCACATTTACTGCAGCATTCAAGTGATTGTGATACTGTCAAGATAATTTTCATTTTTAAACAAGTTATTTGGAATCTCTTTAGAGAGTAGTTTATGTAATATTAAAAAACATTAAGAAAAATTATTGCTTTACTTACATGGTGTCTCTAATAAGAAGTGAACTTCCCAATTTGAAACAGGTTTTATCACCTTCACAAAACATATGTCTCAGAGAAAAGCGCTCTCCTAGGTCAAAACCTGTGAAGTGTGACAAATGATTTAATCCAGCAGTTTTATTAAATATAGTAAACTCACAGAGATACTGATTTTTAAATAGGATTCTTTTGTAGTCATTATCTGCAGATTGATTGTTTCAGGTTAAATCATAAATTTCTTGATTTCCATTTCCTCTCTTTAGGATATAGGAGGACAAAATATATTTCAAAAGATTCAAGTGTTAATTTTCTTTGATCTAGGAATGATTCTAAATAAATAATCAGAGTAGCTTATTGTACCAGCTCTGATAGCTAAAGACAGAAAACTAGTTAAATAAAAAGCACTATACCCATCCAGTTGAAATCTAAGCAGCCTTTTTAAAAATATCATGCTTTAGAAAAATATGTGTTCATGTGGGGAAATGCATGGATCTCAAATGCAGTTTATGGATTATGACTACGTGAGCATGAGTCAGGGTGCAGGAAAGTGGAGAGAGAGAATGGAGGAGGAAAGGGAAGAAAGAAAGAGAAAGACGGGCAGGCACGTGCCAAAATGAGTGCCATCGCCATATGGGGGTATGGAGATCTTCTTTTTCATACATTTTCTTTTCTTTATTTCACATTTTCTACAATAGATACAACTTTTATAATTTCAAATAACTTTTGTTCTCCAAGAGGTTGAGTTGTTGGCCATCAGGTTAAACAATGTAGAATTCTGCTCTCAGAAATTTTTGTATATCATCTGCCTGCTTTGCTTTTAATTTATTGACATTGGTCTTATCATCTTAAATTACAATGTCAAGGAGTCATCTACAAGACACAACATGTTTGGTTATAATTTTACACAAAAATGCTTCCTTGTGAAAGATTATCATGCTTACCTGAAACTTCAAGTTTATCTCTGTTGTCTTGTGTAAACTGGTGTCCCTCTGTTCTCAGTACAGGACACTGTTTTTCTATTAAAAAAAATATATTGAGAATTTTCAGTACATTGTCTATTGTTTTTCTTTGAATAAATGTGAATCATTTAATACAATCAGAAATGTAAGATAAAATGGAAAGAAATTAAATCCTTCTATTAAATTTTTTTTAAATGAGGATAAGAGTACTACCCATTTCATTGTGTGTTCATGAGAATTACATGTGGTTATATACGTGAAGCGTCTGGAATACAGACAATGCTTGTTAGTCTTAGCTATTTTTAGAATTTTATTGCTCTAATATTCTAATTGCTACAATACACTTGACAGTAGGAAATTAGCTAGCTTTAATATTGTCAAATTTTCATAGTCAAAGTATATTCTAATATTAGAACAAGTGAACTACTACTATTTTAACACAACTTCTATTCAGGTTTTGGTATTAGTGATATTAAACTTTACAGCAGAAGGAGACAGCAATGGACTAAATGCGTCCCTCCCCAAATTCCTACGCTGAGGTCTTAATCCCCAGTGTGATGGTATTTGGAGGTGGGGCCTTTAGGACGTGATTAAGTTTAATGAGGTCATAGGGATGCAGCCCTCATGATGGGATTAATATCCTTTACAAAAACTGGAGAAATAGGAGTTCTTTATCTCCATCTTGTGAAGAAATCAGGAAGAGGGCTCTCACAAGATCTTAGCCACAACTGATCTCAGCCTTAGTCTCCAGAACTGTGTTAAATAAATGTCTGTAGGTTAAGCTCCAAACCCTATGGTATTTTTGTTAGAGCAGCCTGAAATAAGTTATTAAAATAAAACTAAAAAGCAAAAGCAGACTTCTGCCATAATAAAGTGGTCTATAATGAAAAATAAATGCGATAAAAATCATTGCTGCTGCTGCTGCTAAGTCACTTCAGTCGTGTCCGACTCTGTGCGACCCCATAGAGGGCAGCCCACCAGGCTCTGCCGTCCCTGGGATTCTCCAGGCAAGAACACTGGAGTGGGTTGCCATTTCCTTCTCCAGTGCATGAAAGTGAAAAGTGAAAGTGAAGTCGCTCAGTCGTGTCAGACTCTTCGCGACCCTGTGGACTACAGCCTACCAGGCTCCTCCATCCATGGGATTTTCCAGGCAAGAGAACTGAAGTGGGTTGCCATTGCTTTCTCCAAAAAATCACTGAGAAAATACTAAGTATGTGTTGAGGCAATTAATGATGTTCAAAGAAATGATCAAGTTTGCTTCCACTCACAGTGGATTTACATATCCCGAAATACTAATACAATAATACACATGTATACACTAATTTCTTATTATCTGGGGTATATTTAAACTTAATTCAGACTACGGTGACTGCAAAAGTGACTATAAAGTGACTATAAAGAAAGCTGATTGCCGAAGAATTGATACTTTTGAACTGTGGTGTTGGAGAAGACTCTTGAACTGCAAGTTGATCAAACTAATCAATCCTAAAGGAGATCAGTCCTGAATATTCATTGGAAGGACTGATGCTGAAGCTGAAACTCCAATACTTTGGCCACCTGATCCGAAGAACTGACGCATTGAAAAAGACCCTGATGCTAGGAAAGATTGAGGGCAGGAGGAGACGGGGACGACAGAGGATGAGATGGTTGGATGGCATCATGACTCAATGGACATGAGTTTGAGTAAACTCCAGGAGTTGGTGATGGACAGGGAGGCCTGGTGTGCTGCAGTCCTTGGTCCATGAGATCACAAAGGGTTGGACACAACTGAGTGACTGAGCTGACAGTGACTGCAGCCACAATATTAAAAGATGCTTGCTCCTTGGAAGAAAAGCTATGAGAAACCTAGACAGTTTAGTAAAAAGCAGAGACATCACTTTGTTGACAGATGTCTATATAGTCAAAGCTATGGTTTTTCCAGTAGTCATGTATGGATGTGAGGGTTGGACTGTAAAGAAGGGTTAGCACTGAAGAATTGATCCTTTTGAACTGTGGTGCTACAGAAGACTCTTGAGAGTCCCTTGGGCAGCAAGGAGAACAAATCAGTCAGTTCTAAAGGAAATCAACCCTGAATATTCATTAGGACCGATGCTGAAGCTGAAGCTCCAGTACTTTGATCATATGATGCGAAGAGCAAACTCACTGGAAAAGACACTGATGCTGGAAGAGATTGAAGGCAGGAGGAGAAGGGGACGATGGAGGATGAGACGGTTGGATGGTAGCATCAACACAATAAACATGAGTCTGAGCAAAGTCTGGGAGATAGTGAAGGACAGGAATGCTTGGTGTGCTGCAGTTCAAATCAGACATGACTTAGTGACTGAACAAGAAAATTCTAGGAAATTAATAGCCATTTCAGGTGTGATTTCAGCCAATTTTTATAATATGCTAACTGTATAACTAGACAATTCTTAACCTAAATTGATGAAATATTTCGCCATCTTACAATCACAACCTTATTTTTCCAAAAATTCATGTTTTCTGAAATTCATGTTTGGGTTTAATGACCTCGAAGTTTTTATGACACAGAGATGAGCTGCTGAAAATCAAACTGTGTCCTGCTCTATGGAAAGTGGAAACTACTGATTCTCCTGGTCAGCTGCTCATCCTCTCAGTCCCTTCAAGGGTGGTGACACGGCCTCAGAAGAATAAATCAAGTTATAAACAGTGCTACCACTTAATCAGAGGTATAAGATGTGACACACACAATTAAAACATATGGCGCTGAATAATTTTAAAGAATATTTAGCTACTTTGAAACTCCTGTCTCAGAAATCTTAACATGATTTCAAGTCCTACATAATATCAAAACTGGATATTTTGTAAACGCTGCCCATTTTTTTTAAGAAAATTGAAGTCATATCCATTTTTATCTGAGTTCATCATCATTTTTATAAAAACCAAATATCCCATCAAGATCTCTGCACTGAAAACTAGATGGTGTTGCCGAGAGAAATTAAAGTCCTAAATAACTTAATGGATTAACCAAGTATTTCGACTGAAAGACTCAATATTGTTAAGATGTCAATTCTCAATTTTATCTCTAGGTGTAGTTCAGCACCAATTAAAATCCCAGTAGGTTGTGTGTGTATTCCTATGTGAGTGTGTGTGTGAAAACTGACAAGCTGATTCTCAAATTTAAGTGGAACTCCAGAAAAACTAGAATAGCTAAAACAAAACTGTAGAAGAACAAGCCAGAGGATCTACAATATTGTACACCAGGGATTTTTATAATGTAGTGCTGGTGCACATATAAACAAATCAGTAGAATAGAGAGTCCAAACACAGACCTGTGCGCATATGGTCTCCTGATTTACCACAAAAGGGCCAGTGCAATTCCAATGGGAAAGGGATGGTCTTTTCAATCAATGATTCTGGATCAGTGGAACATCAATGTAGAACAAAACTGAACCCTTACCTCACACCATGCACAGAAATTAACTAGAGATTATCTTAGACATAAATGTGAAAGGTAAAACAATAAAGGACTACAGAAATATGTAAAATCTTAATGAACTGAGGGTAGAAAATATTCATTGATAGGGACACAGAAAGCACAAAAGGTTGATAAATTGGCCTTCATTGAAACCTTAATAATCAAAAGACAATGTTAAAAGAGTGAAAAGGCTATCCAGGGACTATTACAATATGTATTTCCAACAAAGGATCATATCCAGAACATATAAAGAATTTTCACAACTTGATTAGGAAAGGTTTGAAAACCCTATGATAATATGAAAAAAAGAAACTAAGCAGTTCACAAAAGAGAATATTCGTATTGCCAACCTGCACAAGAAAAGGTGCTCAATGCCTTTAGTAATCAGGAAAATGCAAAGCAAAATCACAGTGAGGCACCACTAAATGGCTAAAAAGTAAAGAACAGCACAAGTGCTAACGAGGACGTGGAGCAGGAAAGATCCCCTATGTTGCTGTTCATGGGAGTGGAAATCAGTACAACCACTTAAGAAAACGGGTAGCATTTCTTAAAACTAAATAGTCATGAACTCTATGACCTGGAACATCAATAAGTCAAGAAAAAGGAGTAAAGAAACAGTGTAAAAGGTTCTTTTAGAAGGGATATTCCTCACAGCAATACTCATAAGCATCTAAAACTGGAAACAACAAAATGTTCATTGACAAGAATAAATAAACAAATTGTGGTATATACAGTGAAAAAGTGTAGCAATAAAAAAGAATGAACCACTGCTATATGCAATGACCTGGATGAATTTCATAGATATAATAAGTGGGAAAAAATACCATTCTCCAAACAATACAAACTTCAGAATTCCATTTATAGGAAGTTCAAGAGATTGCATGACTTATCTATATCAGAGTACTGGTTACCTTGGTAGGGTGTCAGCTGGGATGGGATCCAGGAAAGTCTTCTGGGGTTCTGGAAAGTTCTATAATTGGATCTAAGTGACAGTTTCACAGATGTGTAAATACATTATGCAAAAATTCACTGCACTGTGAACCTAAGATTTGTGGACCTTTGTGTGAGTAACACCTCAACAGAGTGAGGAAAACAGCTTGTCTTTGAGAAAGCACTGTAAGCTAAAAGTAATTTTTATAAAACAAAATACCAAAATTCTGATCAAATTTTTTACAATGACTTTGAATGACTATATGACTGTTGTAAATGAGGTTAACTTTAAATTCTTCACAGTGTATATAGGGAGACTCCAACAGATGATTGGCAAGCACATATCCAGACTATGGAAGGAACTTCCTACTATGATGCATTGGTAATGACTGGAAGGTATGTTAGCTTATTGCCAAGTTGGAAACAGTATATATCTTATTTAAATTCTTCTGCAGACTTAATGAATATATGATGATGCCAAGATAATACACCTGTCACTTTGAAGTAAATAAAATTGAACATTTCCAGTAATATTTATGAAAATGCTTTTCACTAAAGTCTTCAGTTTATAAAAATCAAATATAGCTTTATATCTCTAGTATATGTGCTCTGTTATGAAAAGCTGAACAAAAAAAATGAAAACTAAATGTTAAATTTAAATGAAGTAAGTCAGGTCAGTTCAGTTCAGTTG